TATAGTTTAAAAAAGTTATTATATTTTTTATATTTTAAAAATAATAAATATACAATATGAACAAAGAAGTAAATATATTTAAAAAGTGAACAAAATAAAAAGATAATAAAATATTTATACACAAAATGGGATACATGAATGGGTTATATAGTTTATGTTATATATATATATATATATATATATATATATATATATATATATAAAGTTATTTGATGTCCATTTTATTCCTTGTAACATCTTATATAATTTTTTAAAAAATGTTATGGAAGCAACTTATTTATTTTATGGTGAAAAAATAAAAAATGTGGAGTAATTGTCTCTGTACACTATTGATATATTATTTGTTTTGAAGCTAATAGATAATTAAGAGAAAGAAATAAAATAAAAAGTACATTCAAACTGAACTCTTAAGGTGGAAGTTTTGAATTTATGAAATAAACCTTTTTAATTGAAGTTGAGGTGGTATTAAGGGAGAACCAAGGGGGAGTTAATAACCATCAATAAATAAACTTCCAATTATTTGCAGAGGTGATGGTGACAGATCGATTCCTTTTAACGTTTTCTAACGTAAAGAAATATCTCATTTGATAATATATAAATCATATATATTAAAAATTATTTTCTTTTGTGTTATTTCTGTTAAAAATAAATATATATTAATTTAATTAATTTACTGATGAAATTGAGGACAGACACAATGGATTGCAGCTCCGACCCTACTTTTTTTGTCAGGAAGAAAAAAACGATTAAATGTACGAAAATTTGATATTCTTATGCTTGAGAAAGTAAAAACTCGTATACTCAAGTACATCAAAATTAAATCCATATTCTGATAACGTAATAATATGGAAAATTAAATTATTAATAATAGGGAAATTAGGTACCTTGTAATAAAACTATATTGTCGTTTATTTCTTCGGTCATATTAAAATCCCATCAGCTCTGAAAAAAGTAATTGGGGGTGGAAGCTGGAAAAGGAAGACAAGTTACAAACGGGCCCACTGGGCCTGCTCCGATAAGTACCCTCGACATTTTCGAAGTTCTATTTGTTTTATTTCCTGCCACAAATTTTATCCTTTCGCGGGCATCCAACACTGTGGGCCGGCCATGGCCCACATTTTAAGGGCAAATATTCTTGACGATGATTTTAAGGACAATTTAACCAATTAATAATTAACCTTGTGTTGAATATTTTCTTCATAGTCTATATATTGATTAGTTCAGTATTAACCACTGCAGTAATGTTCTACTGTAAAATAAAAGAGATTTTGTTTGGTACCTTTCAAATTATCAAGGAAGATAAAATATTGGATACTAGATGAACAGAACTGGCTTCATTGTGTTTTAAAATTTTGGAATAAAAAGATTCACTTGTATTTTCTTTCACTCTCAAAACGAATCTAAACATAATAGTTTTCCCGTTTGGGTATTTTTTATTGAATAAAATTTTGCAAAATTAAGAGAATTTTAATGCTAATAACTTTATTTCTTTTATGTATTTTTAAGTGAAATGATAATAAATAAAATGAATTCAAATAACAATACATCCATATGAAATTTATTTTTTAAAATTACAAAAATTGATAATATTTTTTACTATAAAGATGACAAATAAACTTTTTTATAAATTACTGTTTTGAAATTTGAACAGGTTATTTAATTAGTTAAATTACAAATTGGACTATAAATTCATTCATTAGTTCTAAATAATCAAATTTTAATTAAAGTGAGATAAAATTAAAAAAATTAAAATAAAATCGGTAAAATTTTTAAATTAAACCGATTTTGATTAAAAAAATAAGATAAAATTTTGTTAATATAATTTATTTTTATAAAATATATAATATATTTTTATGTAATTAATTATGACAAATTTAAATAATATTTATTTTATTATATTTTTATCTTATTTTAAAAATTATTTATACTTTTTATTATAATATGATACTAATTTTTATTATTATATATATATATTTTTTAAATATTAATTATATTATAAAAATATTATTTTATTAAACTGATTTATTTTTTAAATTCTGAACTCTTGTCTTGATTATTTAATGATGAATTCGTCCATGTATATATTAATTTTGTTTATAACAAAATTTTTAAGACAAATATCTATTTATTTATTAATTTAAATGGCAGTGGTTTATTAAGAAAAAATACGTTGGGGGTGATGTATCTGAACAAAAAAACATTTTATGTAAATTAATCATATGAGTGTAAATACACCATTTAAGTTATATATATATATATATATATATATATATATATATATATATATATATATATATATATATATATATATATATATATATATATATAGTAAAAAATCAAGATTTTGAATTTAACTTATATATTTAAATATATATTTGTAATATAGCGGTCACGAAGAAACACATAACAGAAAAACAATAAAAAAAATGACATTTATATAAATATATCTATGTTTGTCTTTAAACCTTGAAGAAATGGTTATTAAATTATTTTAGTATTTTTTTATTTTGACTAAAATTTATAATTATTTTAGTATGAAAAAAAGTTTAAATAATTTAAATAAAAAATAGCTATATGATTTTTACATGTGTAGTTAAATTAAGTAACATATTACTGTTTTGTGTAAATAAGATAATTATATTATCAACATTATTTTTTAATTATTCTAACTAATATATATATATATATATATATATATATATATATATATATATTATAGAAACAGATTAACTATAATTAATATCAAACTTAGAAAAATTTAAAGCAGATATAAACATTTAAAATATATTTAAGTCAAAATTAAAAAAATATGAAATTTAAATTGAAGATGTTTGTGTGAGATTATTTTTTATTTATTTTACATTTTAAAAATTGTTGTTAATTTATTAATTTAGATTATATAATATTTAATAAATATAGAGGTGATCTTCTTTTTTTTTTAAGAAAATTTACAGTATTTTTTTAGTTTAATAATAAAAATAAATTATTAATTAAAGCATTATATTAAAAAAATAATGATGAAAAGAAGAATAATTTTTTTAATTTTTACGCTCATAATAAATTAATTACTTTTTTTATACAATTATATAAAGATAAAAAAATAAACATAAAAATTGTAACTGACGGTAATTTAAAAAAAATGTATTATTGTTATTATAATTTTGTTTGACCGTGCCAATTAATTAAAAACTATTCTATTGTGTTTTCTAAATCAATTATTTAAAAAAATAACAGTTTCAACACACCTACTTATCTTAATTAACTAATATAGTATCTTTTATAGAGTAAATAAACAAGGTGTGTATTAATAATGTACACAGTTTCTAGAGTACTATTTAATTATAAATTAATATATATATATATATATATATATATATATATATATATATATATATATATATATATAATATAATTTATTTGACTTCAAAATAGCACCTCCAAAACTATATTTATAATAATTTCGGTTAATGAAATGAAATCCAATTGAGATTAGAGAATTGATTAATTGAATCTGATGCGGTTGAACCCGAACATCAACGTCAATGTGGTTTCCTATACAGCATTTGATTTTGAAAAAAGATGGAATTGAAATTTGGGAAGGCGGGATAGATACCCCAAATTGAGGGGCCATGTCTCTCTGTCACTCACTCACCCCTTTTTATTTCCGTCTCTTCTTCTCTGTCTTATAAACTAAATTCATTCTTTCAACACCATTTCCCTTTTTTATTTGTTCTCTTACTTTTGTCTTTCCAAAATCCCTATCATCTTCTCTCTTTCTCCGATCTCTCCGCCACTCGCTACGGTACGCTTCACTGAACTCCATACATATTTTCATCATATTGGCGATTGCTTCTTATCTTCTTCTCCTTTTACGATCCTTTCTCATTTTCAATTATTTCCGATTTTCTTTGTCCAATTCACCTGTTTAATTCATTTGCCTTCCACGCAATTATCACCACTGCTCGTTGCTTACACGATTTTCTTCATTCGCGTTTCTCATTGTTTTTAAGTCTGTCTAAATTTTAAGGTGTTTGCGTTTGTATTCTTGTTTCCTTTGTTTCAATGTGAAAACCTTGTTAGTGTAAGTTGAGTTTAGTTCGTTCCTGTTGTGGTTGACCTTAGGTTTCGGTTATTCCTTTGAAACTCAGTTTTGTTAATTTGTTGTGGAATTTGACTTTGGATCGTTCATGGAGCGTAGATCGTGGTTGCCATTTGTTAATAAACCTGACATACATGAATTATGTGTAATGAAACATTATTAGCAAGTTGTTTTTTGTGATGTAATGACGCAGGGCTTAAATTTCAGAGTGGTTTTGTGTGTTCAATGCGTAGTTGTTATCAAATGTCTGTCACATTACTCTTGTAAAATAATAATAATAATAATAATAATAACAATGCTAATAATGTGAATAGGTGTGCGAGTAGCAAACAGAACTGAACTACTAGTTACGGTGTAATTCTGTAACTTCCACTTGCACTAATCATTTGTGGGCTAAATAATGGAATTAGCCGCGAAACGACGAAAATTGGAAGTTTGTATGCTCATATTTCAGTAAACATAAGAGTGGTGTTGGTAATTATTTGGGAAGGTCACTATACCAAGTCTAAGAAATGCAATCTTGCAGTTGCTGGGAGGCAACATAGGATACCACCTGTTAATTTTGCTCTTGGAGGGTTGAGATTCGAAGTATATGTATCTTGGTTGAAGGGTTTTGAAATTTCAACGAAGAGTTGGGTTTGCCAGGAGTTTAAGTTTTCAGATATTGTTTTATATTTAATTCATATCTTAGGAAAGTAACGAGAAAAACAGTGATAAGTGGTCACTGAGTGGTTCTGTAGTCCAGATTTATTATTCATGTTATTTCGATTTCCTTTTTAAATTTCTATAGGCTGAAAGAGTTGTTCCTTGCCGATTGTTGATTGCTGATGATTAGAATGGACAATTTTTACCTATTTGTTTTTCTTCAAGTGCAGTATTGATTTTAACCCCAGAATCTTAGATGGAGAACACTGAAAATTCTCACGTAGGTTTTGATTACCAAGAGAATGTATCGGGAACACCATACTATACCCCCTACCCGAAACACTTGTTACAGAAATCTGGCCTTCAACCTGTCAATATAGAGTTCTCCCCTAGCTCAGGTGGTGATAGCTCTGTGGCTTCTGTGAAAGAGGGCTCCGGATCACCTTCCTCTTCGTCCTCCTCTTCCTCAGATTCAGAGCAACGAATTTCAAAAGTTGGGGAGAAAAAAACAGATGATATATCATGGGAGAGTGAGAATAGAAGTTATGATGAATTGCTTAAAGCATTCCTCAAAAACGAAGAAGAGCTGAAACTTTCCAACTTTAAACTTAAGCTCTCAGAAGAAGAGATTGCCAAGCTGAAGATCCAAATTGAGAAATGTGAGGATCAGCTTAATAATGCACTGGTAGAATCACTCGTGAAAGAGGAAAATCTTGAGTATGAAAAAGGACAGGTGCTGGAGTTGCAAAAAAAGACCGTTGATTTGGAAACACATGTTTCAGGTTGCTTCCTCAAAATTGAAAAGCTAGTGGCACAGTTGAAGTTGGCTGAAGAACAACTTAAGATATCATATGATGAAATTGCAACGTTGAAAGAGGAACTTAATAGCAGAACATCTGACTCTCGGGAGTTGCAAGGTAAGCTTGAAGTAGCATTGGAAAATGTGGTCACATTAGAATGCGAACTTGATTCAGAGAGAAAGCAGGTTCGGAACTTCGAAGACAGGCTTACATGGTACAAAAATAATGAAACCAACAATGAAATTGAAGTGAAGAAATTAAAGGCAGAAATGCTTGATGCCGAAGCACAATTCTCATTGGTGAAAAGTCAGCTGCATTCTGATATTGCACGTTTGTCTGAAGAGAACATACAACTGGACTCTAGACTTGAGGAATATGAGTCTAGAAGCAACATGTTAGAAAACAAATCAAGGCAATTTGAAGCGGAAAAATTGAAAATAGAAGAGCTGCTTGTTTCCGAACAAATGGCTTTGCAAGGTGAAATCAATTGTTTAAAGGAAGAACTTGATCAGAGAAGACATGATGTTGAAGCTGTGAATAAGGAATTTGACATGCACAAGCATAAGTATGACATGGTCATGACTGAAAAAGATGAGGCCAATGCAAAGATTCATAACCTTATGGCTGAGACAAGACATCGAGACAATCAAATTGCTACTATGGAGAGAGAAATAATCCAGCTACGTGAACAAAAGGCTGAGCTGATCACAGGATCTGCATCTACACTGAATGTAGTAAATGAATTGAAACTGAAAGTGGATGAGCTTGAAAAAGAGGTGACTCGGCAGAATTATGTGATCTCTGACAGGGCCGAGGAGAAGAGGGAGGCAATCCGGCAACTATGCTTTTCAATTGAGCACTATAGGAGTGGATATAAAGAACTTCTTCAAACATTTGCTGGACAAAAGCGTAATGCCGTTTTAACTTCCTAAAGTTAGTTCACTCATGTTTCATCATTTTATTGTGTTGTAGATCTTTTGCGCACTAAAAATTTTCCATGTCGTTTTCTTGTTCTTGTTGAGCGTCTATACATTAAATAATATTGTTTTTCTATCCAATTAGGTCAAACACTTACCTTGACAAATGACTTTGATGAAATCTCTATGTTCATTTCTCCAAGTCTTGATTTATGCTGTTGGTTTAGTAGAGGATACTATTTCGCTATGTTCATTTCTCGCTATCTTGTAGACTTTCAGTGTAAAATGAAGTTTATATACAGGGTAATGTTCTGTAGTGTAGAAAGGAGATATAGAAGCCATATAAAAAAGATTTAAGTATGTTTTTAATCTTTATATTTTCATAGTGAAATTAAAAATAGTCCTTCTGTCATAGTTTACATAAAAATTATTTTTATATTTTTGAAATGATTGAAGTAGGTATCTATTTTAAACAGTCGTTAAGTATATCGTTGACTGCCTAACTAGAAATGATATGACGTATTCATTATTTGACACATGTAATTATTTAAAAAAATAAAATTAAAAGATATCAAGCTTTTAAAAGTTATTTAAATTAGCATTTATAACATTTAAAAGTCATTTAAAAAGAAATTTAAACTTTTCTCTTATTTATAAGTCATTTAAACTTCTCAATCTTAATTTTCGGAAATGAAAATCCTAGTTATGGTATACCATTGTCGCACATTGTCGTTGTGCACCACCGTCACATTGCTAGTCAAACTACAACGAACCGATAGAACCTTCGAATTTCAAAGTCCCTAATTTTGTTTTTAATCCTTGTACTTTCATGTGAAATTGGAAATAGTCCCTAAGTTCACACAAAAATGATCTTTATACTTTTGAAATGATTGTAATAGGTCTCTATTTTAAACAACATTAAATATATGGTGATTTGTGTAACGAGAGATATTATGACTCATTCATTATTTGACATGTGTAATTATTAAAAAAAAAAAGCTCTTCTTTAAAAAATAAAAAAACAAAATAAAAAAGTATAAATTTTTTTTTCTCCTCACGCACCAAAATTCTTCTGTTTTCGTCACAACTACTTTTCATTCTCTTTTCTTTTCTCATCACAAATATTTTTCGTTCTCTCTTCTTTTATCGTCACACACTAAATGCTTTTCTTTCTTCCCTTTTCTCCGTAAAGGTTATATGAAGTCAAAGTAACTTTGAAGTTAAAGGGTTCTAACTGTTCGTTATGGTTCGACTCGACAATGCGACGGTGATACACAACGGTAGTGTGTGACAATTGTATACCATAGTTAAGGTTTTCATTTCCAAAAATTAAGGTAAAGAAGTTTAAATGACTTATAAATGAGAGAAAAATTTAAATTTCTTTTTAAATGACTTTTAAATGTTATAAATGCAAATTTAAATAACTTTTAAAAGCTTGACACCTTTTAATTTTATTTTTTTTAAATAATTAAACGTGTCAAATAATGAATGAGTTATTTAATATACTAATAGGGACATATTTCAATCATTTAAAAAGTATAGGGATCATTTTTATGTAAACTATGACCTATAGACTATTTTTAATTTTAGATGAAAGTACGAGATACTAAAAACATTCTTAACACAAATTAAAATTACATTAACTTATAATGAATGGAGTAAAAACGCAACCTAGCTTTCCTTATAATAATAGTTTGTAATTGTTTTTTCATTTTAATTTGAAATTTATATATAATACAAAAGGCATAATTAATTTGCAATGATATTTTGACTTTCCGACACGTACGTCCTTTTATTTATTTTTCTTATAATTATTACTTTATTATTTAAAAACAATCAATTACTATAATCTCTTTTTAAGAAGATAATATAATAGAAACATGTTAAACTTTAAAAATGATATTTTAAAAAAAATATATATATATATATATATATAAATATTTATTATAAGAAAATCATTGGTGAAGATTTTGTACATTGGTTTATGATGTAGATTATTTAAACGAGTATTACTATTTTTTTTTATGTTTCATTGTTTGTGATCTATGCTTCAAATTAGATATCCTGTATGAGTTAAAATTGTTAATTTGATTTATAGTTGTTTATATTTTTAAAAATTATTAAGAATAATTTATTTTATTGAAGAATAATATAATTAATTAGATTGAAACGTTGATATTTGATATGCACTCGTATTTAATAAATTATCTTTAATTGATAATCCATTTTCATCAGAAGATATTATTATGATATAAAAATAAGATTATTTTGGAGGTTTTAATAATCAATTATCATTTTAAATAATAGATTAATTTGATTTTAATAAACTTTCATATTCTTTAGAGAATAATGTTATTTTGATTAACTCTATTTTATTTTAAAAATATATAAATTTATTTTAAATAATGTTTTTTTTTATATATAAATTCTCTGTTCTTTAGAAATATATTCTGAGCTTAATCAATGAATAAGTATTATTGAATAAAGTTACATTCACAAACTCTATAGAAGTTTCTTTATTTTATTTTATTTTTGAAAAATAGGAATAAACTCACCCTTTCTAATATGTCATATTTTATTTTAAGAGAGGATTAAATTCTTACTGTATCTATTTATTTGTTATTATTTTTTTTATGTAAAAAATATTTTGAAAAAGTTGTCCAAATAATTTTTTTATGTATCTTCTTCTTTAACATAAGATGGGTGATATACTATTTAAAAAGATTCTAAAAGGTAAAAAATGAATAAAAATAAATAAAAAGTAACATTTAACCATACTTAAAAGAAAGAGAGTAATGAACTAAAAACAGTTTCGCTTATTATAATTGAGGTGTATTTTAATAAAAAATTAAATCACTCAATTATAGATGTTTTTTTACAAATAATTTTCTAAAAATGTTACTAAAGAATACATTAATTACCTTGAAGCATTGACCGTTTCATGGTATTGCAGTGTGATGATTTTAAATTTACACTCAGTTGAAATGTTCCACTGGAATAATTCAAAGTTCTTTTTTTTCTTCTGTAAGAGAAAGAAAAAGGAATTAATATATTTTGACATGACAGATGGTCATTCATTCTTTATTTCAGTTGACTAATTCTCCAACTTCATTTTCTTGCCTGTTTCTAGTTGTTTTCCATCCTCTCTTTCCTTATTTAGTGCGTTATTTATAATATTAATTATTATAATTTAAAATCTATCATACATTCAATAAAACAATAAAAAATGAAAAATATTTATTACTTCACAACTTAGACTGACTGTGTTGGCGGTAAAGACACTCAGAAAACATCTTCCATTTTTTTCCTATTAATTTTTTTTAAATTGATTATTTTGATTCATTTTCACTTTCATATTAACAAATTAACTAAAAATAAAGAAAATTTCTTAAAAATTTAGACATAAAATAACATTTTAAAGTTAATTAATTTCTTATAATTTAAGATATGTAATATTATTTTTTAAATTTAATGTAAAAATATATAAGAAATATAAAATTATAAATATCATAATTAATTATGTATGATATTTTTATAATATATTTATTTATTGAATAATTATTTTATTATAATATATTTAATAATTTTATAATAAAAAATGACAAAAATAGTCTATAAAGTATTAGTTTTGTTTTTGTTTATTATTTTTTTAAATAGAAACTAAACCCCGTTTAAATTTTCTATTTGGTTCAAATAAAGTTTTGTCTAAAACCTAGCCTTTGAGAACACCCTGCTTCTTATTTTTATATTTATCTTCCATAGAGTTGTTGTTTTTTTTTTATCATCTTTTTAAGAGTTTAATAACGTGAGAGTATTGTTCATAAATTGTTTTTCTACCACAACTCAAGATCGGATAAATAAACTATTAAATATTAGTTATTTTAATCTTTAAAACAATGAAAAAACTTGATTTTTAAATTATTAATAATATCTAATATTAAGATAATTAATTTATAAATGATTTGAATAATTATTTTGGTCCATAATCAATTTTAAGTTTGACTTTGTTGTGCATTATTTAATTTAATTTATAATAATAAATGACAAATTGATAATAAAATAATTTTAGAAGTTATTCAGTTTTATTATATTTAAAAATAGGTTTAATTTGATGGATTGATTCAAAATATTTTAAAAATAAATTACAAGTTAAACAAAAATATATTCTAAATTTAATCGTGTATACCTAATAATACATTTAGGTCATGATTTATATGAAATTAATTTGAGATGACATGATTTATATAATAATAATTATTTTTAAATAAAAATAGAATAATATTAGTTATTAAAAATTATATATATTATAAATTAATTTGATAAAATATTCCCTTATGAAACTTTTCTTATTGGTTAATCATACACTTTATATGTTTTTAGCAATTCACATTATATTTTCAAATGATACAAGTTTTGAATAAGGATCTACAACGTACTAGAATGTATTGACAATCCTTTATTCCGATAACATCTAGGGTTCTCGAATAATGTGATATCTCACATCGGATTCATTTATTCTAATAATAAATATTATTAATAGCGACTTATTTTAATATATAATGATTAAAATTAATTATTAATTTAAATCGATAAATTAATAATAATAATAATAAATAAATTTATAATTTTTATTTTAAAATAAAATGATCTATTTTTTTTAATTTATATATTAAATTATTATATCTTAAATAAAATTTAATTTTATTAATATAATTTAAATTTTAAAATATATTTTTTTATTTTTTTAATTAAATTTTTTATATAAATAAATTAATAATATTTTTTATTTCTGATGAGATCAAAATTAAGTCGTTAATATATTGATTTAATATAGGATCACACTAACCTAAAATCTATACATTTTTTATTAAATTAAACCATTTTTTATTTTATTTAACTTATAAAATCAAGTAAGGCGGATACTCTATTTTAACTATTTTTAAAAATAAATACCAAATTATATGACTAAAATTTTCTTCAATATTAAATAGCTAAAGTGATTAGTATTTAAAATTCCTATTATGGTACATTCAAAAGTTGATTAACAGTTGAAATCAATAGTGGTAGTCTTATGTATATTCTTCTTTGAATCAATACATTTTAAAATTAGTGACAATAATATGAAGTTTCAAATAGTTGCAATGTTATGTTAGCGGGCCAATATTATAATAAAAAATTAAAATTGAGTTTGGTCCAATGAAAGTACATTAAATAAAAATAAAGAATAAAAAATAAAGTCATAATGTGAACAACGAAACATTAAATAATGTTGGCAGTATAGTCAACAAAGCGGGACCCACAAATCGTGGCGCGTAATCCGACGTGTAAACGAGGTTGTCGGGTTCATCACCACACAGATCACGGCCACAATCATAACACACAACACAACACCAAAATTCAAACCCAACAAATAAGAAAAGAAAAGTGAAAGTGTACGTGGGATTTGGTCAGGGTTGACTAAAACCCTTCTAGACACGAAGTCGAAGACTCTATGATGCATTTCCACACACCAAAGACAACAAAACAACGACTCACTACCCTCCTCTTTCAAATCCTTCGATTGGTCTTCATCTTTGCGCCAAGGAAATTGCTTCAATTCCTCCCCACTTTCCCTACAAATTCCTCTCCTCTCTCCTTTCATTTTTCTCTCTGCACCCTCTTCAACAATCTTCGTTACCCTCTACAACCCTTTTTCCCTTTCTTCTTTTTCCACTTTCTCATGTTCATCTGTTTGCTTCAATTTTTAATTTTTCAGCTGCAGCCACCTTTCCATCTAACCTACGAACCATGGTTGCCATAGCTAGCTAGGTACCTTCATGACGATTTCATTTTATTACATTATGACACACGTTGCAAATGTTATCGTTGTTTAGCTCTTTCATTTTAGAGAACTCATTATCTCTCTATATAATTTTTTTTTCAATGATACTTAGTGCTTTTATAATTTTTCATGGACTGCAAATCTAGTTGCTCTTATTTATTTATTTTACAATAAACTCAGATTGGATGTGCATTACTGTTTGTCTGTGAAGATTGAACTTCGTTTTTGTGTTTGTGTATCGTTTTTCCATTTCTAGCAGCTTACTTGTTTGTTGTTTATTCACGAAGGTTTTAAAAAAGGAGAAAAATAAGAAACTATGGCTAAGAGATCTTATGTTTTGCCATAATTTACTGATTTTAGAACATGCTTATTTTAAAGGGCATTTCCTTCTGTGGAAAGTCTATACTGGTGTATGTTATAGTTGGTAAGTGACAAATTCAATTAACCCGTGAAGATCACGGTTTGTCCCAAATTTGTAACGTGGAGGAAAAGTTTTTATGATAAAGTAATCTTGTTTTGCTGCATCTTGCAGTTGCTTCGTACAATTTTCATTTATCTGAATCTCCTATTATTTCTCCGTTTCCATGATTAACTATGAAATTGTTTATAACGATCCAAGCTAAACTTTATTTATTTGTTATTCTTGTGCAGACAGTGTTGGAAATTTGACCTTTGACATCTGCATCTCTCTGAAATTTGTGGCCTAGACCAAACCTTTCGACTGTAATCAATTAGATATTCGAGGCAGATGTCCGGTGAATCAGTTCCCGAACTTCGGGTAGTTAGATGCCCTAAATGTTGGTTACTTCTTCAAGAGCCTACACGATGTGATTTGTACAAGTGTGGTGAATGTGGCACTACTCTTCAAGGTGAAAATTCTACCTTTTGTATTCCAATATTTTTCATGGCTTATTTTCATTGATTGATTGATATAAATGGTCTTATTTATTTCAACTCTATGAACCAAATCATACTGCTTTAATCTGTAGACACACTGGTTGTGTGTCTAAATTTTAGGAATAAATCCAAATTTTCTAATGGGGTGCTAATTCTACTCTATACACTCTACCTCTTGTAGATCTGAATTACTGAAATCTTTTTATTTCTCTCCCTACAGCTAAGAAACGAACAAGTGTGACTGTGAACTCAGAATCCAGTTCACAAGAAACTGTTGCAACTCCTAGAACTTCATTGGACCATGTTTCTGAGGAGAAGCAATGTAACGATAGAAAGCATCTGGTTACTTCTAGGGAATGTAGTTTGAAGGAAAAAGCAACTTCTTCTGGAGACTGCCAAGTGGATGGAAATACTGGAAGTGTTCAACATGAAAACGATGAAGGCAATGAAGATCAACTTGTACCGTTTATTTTATCAGATGAAGGACAGGAAACTGAGCCGGATATCTATAATTTATCACACAGAAGGCATAGAGTGTCCACCAAAGGTTGTTCAACTTCAAATAAGACCACTCACCCTGAGATTGAGGAGATAAATGAAGGAAACTTATCAGAAGAATTTAAAGAGGAGTTTTTTAGTGCATGGGATAAAATTACTGAAAGTGATGGTTCAGAAGGAGTAGAAGATTTAAATGGTGGACACTTGTCAGCAGAGGGAGCAGAAGAGGAGTTAAGTTCTGCATTAGAGGGAGAAGATGCCAATAATGATAAATCAGTTCCCGTTGGTGAAAATCTTGAACTGAAAATCACTGAAAGCAATAAAGCAGAAGAGTTAAATGATGGAAAATTGTTCGAGGTAGCAGAGCATGCGCCGGATGGAGAAGATTCCAACAATAATCCATCAGCTATAGAGGGTGCAAATCCTGAGGTGGACACTACAGAAAGTGCTTCTACTACTATAAGGTCAAGTACAGAGAAGGAAAACATTTTACATGTTACTCCTGATAAATTTGAAGGGCCACCTGCTAATCTTGTATCTTCTCATAAACAACAGAAGCAAACTCAAAAAAGTATTCAACGTGGCTTTGACCATGTAAGTTCTGTGGATATAACAGATACCACAGAATTAATTGATCACAGTTCAGAGCTTAGTGATATTCTTGTTGGAAAATTGTCCAAGTCCCCAACCGCTAGAAGGTCTCATGCTTATGATGGCAGCCCCTCTTCTTATGATGGAATGGATGAGCAGTCCCCTATCCAACGTTCAGGTTCGATTGACAACATTCACACCATTGCTAATGGTGTTTCTGAGGGAAGGACCAGAAAGAGTAAAGGTCTTGTTAATAACTTGTTATACAGAGACCTTGGAACACAAAGTCAATCACATTTGTGCAATGCGAAGCATCATGCCAAAAAAGATGGCAGGGGGAATCAAAACAAAGTGGTGGAGGAGACTACAAGAAATGGTCATCGACGTTGGATGAGCACAAAGAGAGACGAGTTTCCTCCCAAAATGCCTTTCCATCGAAGTGGTTCTCATTCTTACTATGAAAGGGGAAGCTCATCAAACCATATGCATGATGAGATCCACCGCAGCTCAAGCTTTCTTTCACATGAATCCTTTGAGGAAACTGACCAAGAGAAGATGAAACTGTTGGGCATGATTCATAAGTTGCAGGATCAACTGAACAGGACACTCTACACGAGTGGAGAAGCAAATGGAAGACTGTCCAAGGGATCTTACAAGGGAAATCATATTTCTGGATACCATAGCCATGACTTCGATGAGGGAAGAAGGTTTTCTCATGGTTTGGGCTATCCTATGTCTAATGGAAGATTTAGTCATGGAGTCAACTGGCACCAAAGGCATAATAAATTCTCACGGATACCTTATTCAGCTGAGGCAACAAGCCATTCACACCATGTTGATCATTCTTGCTACCATTGTCGTTCCCAAGAAAGGCATTATTCAGCAGATATTTCACCACATGTTCATTTCCGGCATGAACGGTTATACAGTTCCTGTGCAGGCCAAGATTGTTGTTCTTTTTCTCATCACCCGTATCCTTCAAGTCCACAATGGTCCACAACTTCTGAACTTCCATCAATGTACGGTCGTGAAACAAAATCTGATGATAAGAGGCGTAGGGTTCCTGACTTAAGGAGATATTTAAGGGAGAAAAAGAATTTGGTAGCTAAGAGACATCACAGGCCAGTGGCAGGTGGAGCTCCTTTTGTCACTTGTCATAAATGCTTAAACCTGTTGCAGCTACCCGCAGATTTTCTCCTTTTTAAAAGGGCATGTCATCAGCTGAAATGTGGTGAATGTTCAGAGGTGCTCAAGTTTTCACTGCATGGAAGCCATATAGATATCTTTCCACCAAATAATGCTATTGGCCCTCCATCAAGTGAAATTAATGATCAAAGCCAGGTGATTGGTAGCAGCAGTCTACCTTCAGCATCTCATGCAAACTATTACCGTTATTCAGCTGCGGAGGCCATTTCATATTATGATGATTATGGTCTTTCTATCTCCAAAAGCTACTCCTCAGAAGGAGAGCCTATTGCTTTGGCACATTCTCATCACTTACATGGTAGTGAATATGATAATAATCCAAGAGTCTCTCGTGGTATATTTGAGCCTTCAACCGAGAAAGAGAACATTGCTCCAAGATATTCTAGTGCAAGGAAGAGTTTGGTGGAGCCAGTTGAATCAGCTATCTTTCCCAGCAATGTGTCTAGATCTAGGAAACTGGCATCAGAAATGAGGGCAAGGCCACCACCAAAAAGTTCATCACTTCATCTACTGATGGGTTATTCTTCACCAAGTCAAGTGATAAGAGGGACTCGGACTTCTGTTGAAGGTAACTAAGGAGCTCGTCGTTGAGAAAATGATTCAAGAGAGTTAAAAGCTGAAACGTCTCCTGATTGAGTTTCAACTATTGGTAAAGCAGTTATATTTCTTTCGCCTAACTGAACTTAATTTAGAGGCTCTTTCCAAAAGACAGGAATGTAAATAAAAAAACAAAAGAGTAAATAAAAAACATCCCTGGGTAAGCTTCATGTTTGTTGAAGTTGGACAGATCAAGAATGGGGAGTTCTGTCCGAATTTGAGATGTAATAAAGCATTCACATGGAGAGTTGAAGTGATTTTCTTTCATAGTATCTTCCTAAATTTTTTTTTCTTGAACTAGGCAACAGGTGTTTCAGAAGCAATTCAATTTTTGTATACAATTTCTGCAACAGCAGGTATTTTGTGTATAATTAAATTACTGTAATATTATGATTTTGGTGTATAAAATGTTTGGTGTGTGCATTTTAAACTCGTCTTGAAACAGCAGAGTTAGTTACTGTCTTGATAAATAGTGAGCATAGAGAGACGTTCAGAGATAGACCTAAGCAATTTTTTTACACCTAAGGCATTTTTTTTTTATTATTTCTTTCTCTATCACGTCACTCATTTTATTTACACTTTCTTAAATTATACAAGGGCGTGTAAAAGTTTTGCAGTATTGTCATAATCCAAATGTTTATGGTATGGATGATGGATGTTGACGGAAGACCTTCTCAGACTTATAAACCCTTATAAAAGGCTATTAATTAATTTAATCATTAAATTAACAATAACCATATATACATAACTTTTTTTTGAGTCATTTTTTAATTAAACAATATTGTCGAATTAAAATAGTTTCATTATTTCATTGAATGATTAATGTATGTGCATCTCATTTTGTATCCATCTCTCTTTAAAAAGAGGTAAATCTTTAATTGCTTAAATAATACATACAAACTGACACAATTTTCATCCTATCCCTTCCCCTTCTGAAGAAAACCACATTTCATGCAAATTACTTCAAAGTAGCAATTAATAATAATAATAATAAAAATAAAAAAATCTGGTCGGCCTTTTCATAATTTGACTTGCTGGTGCAAATTCAATTCTTTTCTTCTAGTGGAGAAAGCTGAAACACATTCAGTAGAATCAGCACATAAACATAGGACAAGAACATTCTTTCACATGCTTGAATGTAATAATTTAAATGCTATGGGAGCCTAACTATATGATTCAATCATCTGTATCTGAACTAGACTCTGAATCTTCATCAGCTTGCAACTCGAAAGGTCTCATTCTGTTTGTATTGGCTTCCAATGGAGGTAGTCCATCATCATCACTATCCTCCGGCTCATTCTCTTGTTGGGAGGCAGAAGTTTCATTTGATTCTTCTACCATTGCAGATTTAAAAATTTCAGGCCTATATGTTGGCAAATGATTAGAACAGTGAGTATCATGTCTTGGGTATGGGTACCGTTAGATTCTACCATATAAAGTCCAAAATTTTATATAGAAAGTAAATATAAAATTATTCACAAAGAACAAAGCAAGTAAATATACTAAAACAAAGCTGGAAACAATAGCACACCATTCTGGAGATTTCTGTAGTTCTCGAACTTGTTCGTAGAAAAGAACTTGAGAAACAATGCACGCAACCTTGCTACCCGATTCAAGAGCCTTTTCCTTTCCAGTTTCATCAACAACAACGAAGCTCCCTGCAACATTGAGAAAGAAGGGTTAGATTTTAATGTAGAGGAAGGCCCAGAAAAAACAGTAGCTTTAAAAAGCACTGTTCAACTTTTGGATCTCCGGGCTTCAATGTTAAATTCCTTGGCAGATGGGTTGGAGTAACATAAAATCTAATAGAAGACATGGTGCATTAGCCAACCCCGAAAAGACACGCAAATAGCGCAAAAAAATTGTTTCAAGCAGTACACACTACGAATATCTTCAAGTTTGATAACGATTAATTGTTTAACAAAACAGGCTGGTAAAGTTGACATGGCTTCTAAATAAATAGTTCCACAACCTATATAGACATTCACCGTTAGCTAAGAATTTCCTAAATTCTTCGACAATGAAAAGTAAAGGTTCGAATATAAACAGCCTGTTAAGTAAAGTTGAAAAGAGAGAAACTATGTCTATCCATTCCATGACGTGGTCCTCGAATAAACTTTGATGTCCAGATAGAGAAAATCAGCAATTATAACACAGCCATTTGATTATCATAGGGAAGAAAACATAATCCTTATAGTAAAGCAATTCATTTTTTTATTCTAAAAACTAGTAACACAAAGTAACATATAGCGTAGCTTTGACTTGCATTTTAAATAGGACAGACCTCGTTTAATCCACACGCTTTTCTGAAATTTAGCAGGGAATAGAGCTAGTGATTTGTTGCCACATGCATCCATGACCTTCAGACATCAAAATCGAAATATAAATAAGAAACTATATACACATTTTAAAGGATTAAATATATTGAATTGAATAGACTAATTTTAAGAGTTTTCACATATTGTTATCTTTTCCTCTTTTTTCATGCTTTTAAAACAATCTGTATATTTTTCTCTCCATACATTATTTTGTTCTGATAAAAGAGTCCTGGCAATCCCTGCAATACCGTTAGAAACTATTTGTTTACTACCAGGGTAGAACTACAACCAATATATTATTTTCCTGGTTAATATGTAATTTTAACTCTTATTTTCACAGATGCGAACATTCAAACAATATTCCTTGATTTATTTCCCATCAAACTTTGTAAGATTCACCATAGTTGTTCTCTGATTTTCTTCAGCACAAATAAAAAGGAATATATATTAGATTTAGGACTCGTAAAGAAGTACCTCAATGATATTTGAGCCTCGTAGAGACACCACCTGCATGATGCTTTGCCTGTCTTGAAGGGTTACATGTTTTTCCTCTGTTGCCCTTTTCAAATTCTTCCTTCCTCCTCTCATGGCCACCCAAAACCCTGATTTTCTACTTGCCAAAGTTACTCACTAAGCTCTGCGTATCACAAATGGCATCTTAACAGACTAAACCAAAAGATTAGTGTACATAATTCTGCATTATATATTTCATTATGTCGTACACGCGCAGAAACACCAATAAGTTTAGGTTTCAAATGGTAGCAGTGCAAAACAGTATTTCAACCATCAAAAGGGGAAAAACTATCAAACCTAACCCCCGACAATACAATAAAATTCATTATTATTCTACAGAAAAACTGGAAACAAAGTTAGTTAACTTTAACAGAGCCACACTGGGAGTGGTTAATAGTAGATGCCAGGAAAAGAGCCCCTCCTCAGTTCACCCTCACACTGTGTGTGAACTTAGAACCAGAGAAGTTGTAAGTAGGCTCACACATGGTTTCCTTAAGCACTAAAACCAAGCTAAAAATACAGTATAATAGCTGCACCTTTCATGTTTAGCAAGTTTTCGGGTCCAATTCGTTAAGAAAGGAACAAATTAAAATTATATGAAATCAGTAATAGGATTATTATGGAACCACAAATTTACTAGGTGTGAATCCTGTTGAAATAAGGAATCCATTGGTATGGAAAAATTCATCGACAACAAACGACAACCACGGCGCTGGCACTAATTTTGCTGTTTTTTTCAAACGAGGAAGAATATGTATAAAATAAAGAATTGAGTAGGACCTTGATGAGCACGGGACGAGTCAGTGGGCGGAGACCGATGGTGAACGTGCAATGTAGCGGCGGCGACGGCGGAAACAGTGAACAGAGGTGGCAAGCTATGCCACTGTGCACGTGAATGGTGCTGTTAGCTACCCTAGGTTTCCCTCCCTGCGAATCAGAGTCAAAATTACAACTTCTTCTTATAAATTCGTATGAACAATGATAAAAGAAAAAAAATAATAACTAATTGACAATAATATTTTAAATAATAACATATAATAAATGAACTAAAGATTAATCTTATAAATAAATAGTTGTTATTATCGATCAATCTTTATTCATTTTAATTTTTATAATTTATTTTAAAATATTTTGTTTTATGCCTAAGTCTTCTTTGGATCTAGTTACATATGCTAAAATATAATTTGAAAATGATGATTTGAAATTATTTGTATTGAAAGGTGTTATATATAATTTGAATGTACAAAGAGATTTACAACTAAAATTAAGTGAAATACGAATGTCTTTATTATCTTTGATTATTAGTTATTATATAAAATAAAGAAATATAATTGATTATCTAAGAGAAATACTTAATTGTGTTTTAGTACATATTTAATTATGTAGTAAGACATAATTGATTATATCTTCTTTAATTAATTAATTCTGCTTCACGTGTGTATCGTTAAGGTAGAAAATACAAATTTAACCACTTAACATTCCAATCTTATTAGTCAAATAAATAGACATCTTTTTTATTTACGTTAAAAATAATACCAAAGAGTATTTAAAAATATTATTAAAATATAATTTTAATTAAATATAATTATTTATAATAAGTGTATAAATTATTATATTATTTATTTATTTATAATATTTTTTAATTTTCTAATATAAACTTATGATTATAATTATTAAAATTTTAAGTTTGAATTATGAATGCATTCACTTTTTGAATTTATTTTGATTAATTGTGTTTTTTAAATTAATTAAAATTAGTTTTGTATTTGTTTTTAGTAGTATTCTTGATTTATTTTATATTTAAATAATTGTTCAATTAAAGAATATGTGGTAATGAATAATTTTAAAAAATATTTAAAAAATATATATAAGTGGAGAATAGAAATATAAAAGGAAAAATTATAATATTTTTAATTTGAGTTGAAATTTAATGAGATTCAAACCATTTTATTCGTATGAAGAATTTAAATCAAAATTATAATTAATAGAAACTTAAAAAGAAAATTTATGATATTTTTAATTTTAGTTAAAATTTGATAAGATTTAAACAATTTTATTTATTAGTATAATTTGTGAAGAATTTAAATAAAAATAATAACTAAAAAATAAGTAAAATATTATTAAAATTATTTTATATGAAAATAACATAATTACGTAAAATTTTTATATTATAAAATTTAAAATATATTTAAATTTTAAACAATTATTTTTTTTAATATGTGAAAAGATTCAAATATTAAACAAGTATATATATATATATATATATATATATATATATATATATTTTTTTTTTTAATTTTAGCAAATGATAATGTAAGAATGTTTAATTTCAGCTTATATATAAATTAATTTTAATTTAATTTTTTTATCTATTTTATTAAATAATCGTTTATATTAAATTATATTTCAATTTATATTAATTCTTATTAAAATATCTAAAAAATATTTTAATAGTTTAATTATCTTATTATTTAATTAATCAAATAAATCTTATTTATTATTTTCCTTTTTTTATTCTTTTAATTCTTTTCTTCAATTCAAACACAAATAAAAAGTTGAAATATATATATATATATATATATATATATATATATATATATATATATATATATATAATACACCAACGTTTATCATGGGTAATCGATATTATTGATATTTGTAACGATCCTAGAAATCGCTAATATAATGATGTTTTGGCAAAGTAGTAAACAAGTAAATAATAACTTCTATTTTACATTATATTACTGTAATTATAACATAGATTGAAATTTCGGTTTACTAACATAACTTCAAAATATAGTAACATAATTTATTTATATATTATACATGTAAAAGTAGCTCCCTCGAAGCTATCCCACTGAACTATCCCTGCTGTCCAGTAGTCACATTTCCATCTCTCAACTCCTGATCTGCTCCCACATAAAAGTAATCATCGTAGTCCCATCCACATGGAAAAATAGGGGTAAATATTAAATCATTCAATATAATAAAACAGATATAAAAGTAATAATTATATATTATGATTAATTACGAAATTATCAACACACTAAAACACCTTCCGAAAATATACCCTAACTATGCCCGAACTCAGAGGCTATCATCTGTGGGCACATTGTGATCGGTACCCGCAGTACCATTCTGACCACCCTCCACACAGAGTAGGATTACTGGCGCCCTTCATCACTCATATTGGAGTACCCCTCCGAGCGCGCCACCAGTCATCCCCGCATCGACTTCTCACCACCTGATCTCGTAGTCTACCTGACCCGACCAATCAGTGAAGTCTGGGACCTCATTCAGAATCCTCCGACATAGTTATTACACTAATGTACTCTGTATCACCCCGGGTACCATTCAAACATAACAAAAATTATTCACATTTGCCGGATTCTCGACCACTTGTCCTTACGGCTCATTCGGGTCAATAAAAATAGTATTTGACTGATTCTGGCACCAACCCTTCGGCTGAATCTAGCCAATATATAACGTCTCATGACTGATTTTGGGCATCAACCCTCAGGCTCAGTCTGACCCACACGTCACAACACACTACTTTCATTCTCTCTCTCTTTATATATATATTTTTCTAAAATCATTTCCGAAATCATTTCCGAAACTATTTTTGAAACTATTTTCGAAATCATTTCCAAAATCATTAAAATTACTATTGTGCCCTTAATCTTTTTCTTAAAATTTCATGTATGTCCTTAAATGACTATTTTACCCTTGAACATTTTTTAAAATTCCTTCCATGTCCTGAAAATGACTATTTTACCCTTAAACATTTTCAAAAATTCCATTTATGTCCCTAGGATGTAAAATGACTATTTTACCCTTGAACATTTTCAAAAATTTCTTCCATGTCCCTAGGATGTAAAATGACTATTTTACCCTTGAACATTTTCAAAAATTACATCCATGTCCCTTTCTTCTTCCTCGCTCCTGGTAAGGCATTTTTAAAATCCAGATTTTCCAATTTCTCAGTTTAAAGCACCCAAATTAGTTCTAAATCAAAATTAAACATGCAATATGTAACCCCCCTTACAGATTACATTTATTAATCCTAATTTATTATCTAAGTTAGTAATATTTTCAATATTCATAGAAGGTTAATAGAAAATATACCAAGTGAACAATTAATTTAGGTAAATTTTTATATTAAATCAAGCAACAAGTTCTAGTACAAAGTTTTCAAAATATTACAAGTCATAAAGTTATACTTATATGTTATACAATTCCCAACCTAAGCTCTTAATTTTTGCATCTGACATCTATCTCTTGGACTATGTATTCCTGCATCATACGTCACCAACATCTGGGATTGAAATATTTATGGGGTTAGACATTTAATTTTATTCATAGCAAATAAAGCAAACATTCATATGATAAAATCAAACAATGAAACATTCCTTCTAATAAGTTCATAACTGCATATAAATATACAACCATATATAATTTAATTTGAAAATTAATTATGAGAAACAAATAAATCATTCATGGAATCATAATAGATAATATCATACAAATCATGAATAATCTACAATTTCATCATCCAATATGTTTATGATATGCACATGTGACTCAAAACGTAAAACTTTAAAATCATGCTTTTGACTCAAAATCTAAAAAAATTATTTTTGACTCAGTGCTCCATGGAGACTCATTTGAGTGTCTAGTGGAACCAGAGCTTAACATCACCCTGTCCGGTGATTCGGCAATGCCCTACTAAACGCGAACAAGTAGACAGTAGTCGGAGTGTCAGTGCACCCGGAAAGCTACCACGACACAGAATCAAATAAAGACTGGCCACTTATGGAATTGCCCATGCCCAAACACTCCCTAGACCAGAGGTCCATCCCCATAGACCAGAGGTCCTGTCTTACCTATTCTACTCCCCCATTTACTATCAGAGATTCTGGTAGCTAAATTCTTAATAATTCATTCTCTGTCTCATTTGGCCAGCCATTTTCATAGTCATATTCCACTACCAGATGCTCTTGATAGTAAATTGACTCACAGAAATATTTTTAAAATTCTGTTTTGCACATCATTATTACTACCAACTGTCCTTGGTA